TCTCTCTCTCTCTCTCTCTCTCTCTCTCTCTCTCTCTCTCTCTCTCTCTCTCATTTTCCCCCTGTGCAGTGGGTTGAATGCAGCTTGGAGCATACTGGGTAAGTGCTATACTTCTGAGCTGGGCCTTGAACTTCCTGTCCTGTCATTCCAGCGCCCAGGACCATGCCAGGACCCCCCATAACTGCCCAATGAAGGCACAGATGAGTGGGGCTGGATGTTGTTCCTCCATGATGCCTCAGTTTCCCCCTACTCTTCAGCATCCTCACCAACATTTCACCCCTCTTTCTCTCCTTCCTCCCCCAGCCACGGCCGCCCTGCTCGCTGCGCCCCACCATGGCAAACTTCACACCAGGCAACGGCAGCTCAGGCAACCAGTCTGTGCGCTTGGTCTCTGCAGCCCACAGCCGCTACGAGACCGTGGAGATGGTGTTCATCGCCACAGTGACGGGCTCGCTGAGCCTGGTGACTGTCGTAGGCAACATCCTGGTGATGCTGTCCATCAAGGTCAACAGGCAGCTGCAGACGGTCAACAACTACTTCCTGTTCAGCCTGGCCTGTGCCGACCTCATCATAGGTGCGTTCTCCATGAACCTGTACACCGTGTACATCATCAAGGGCTACTGGCCCCTGGGCGCCGTGGTCTGTGACCTGTGGCTGGCCCTAGACTACGTGGTGAGCAACGCCTCCGTCATGAACCTTCTCATCATCAGCTTCGACCGCTACTTCTGCGTCACCAAACCGCTCACCTACCCGGCGCGGCGGACCACCAAGATGGCAGGCCTCATGATCGCCGCTGCCTGGGTGCTGTCCTTTGTGCTCTGGGCGCCCGCCATCTTGTTCTGGCAGTTTGTGGTGGGCAAAAGGACAGTGCCTGACAACCAGTGCTTCATCCAGTTTCTATCCAACCCGGCAGTGACCTTCGGCACGGCCATCGCGGCCTTCTACCTGCCTGTGGTCATCATGACGGTGCTCTACATCCACATCTCCCTGGCCAGCCGCAGCCGAGTCCACAAGCACCGGCCAGAAGGCCCCAAGGAGAAGAAGGCCAAGAGCCTGGCCTTCCTCAAGAGCCCCCTGGTCACACAGAGCATCAAGAAGCCCCCGCCGGGGGCCACGGCCCGGGAGGAGCTGCGCAATGGGAAGCTGGAGGAGGCCCCGCCCCCGGCCCTGCCGCCGCCACCACGCCCAGTGGCCGACAAGGACACCTCCAATGAGTCCAGCTCAGGCAGTGCCACCCAGAACACCAAGGAACGCCCTGCCACCGAGCTGTCCACTACAGAGGCCACCACGCCTGCCGTGCCCCCGCCCACCCTGCAGCCCCGGACCCTCAACCCGGCATCCAAATGGTCCAAGATCCAGATAGTGACAAAGCAGACAGGCAATGAGTGTGTGACAGCCATAGAGATTGTACCCGCCACACCAGCCGGCATGCGCCCAGCGGCCAACGTCGCCCGCAAGTTTGCCAGCATCGCTCGGAACCAGGTGCGCAAGAAGCGGCAGATGGCAGCCCGGGAACGCAAGGTGACGCGGACCATCTTTGCCATCCTGCTGGCCTTCATCCTCACGTGGACGCCCTACAATGTCATGGTCCTGGTGAACACCTTCTGCCAGAGCTGCATCCCTGAGACAGTGTGGTCCATTGGCTACTGGCTCTGCTACGTCAACAGCACCATCAACCCCGCCTGCTATGCGCTCTGCAATGCCACCTTCAAAAAGACCTTCCGGCACCTGCTGCTGTGCCAATACCGGAACATTGGCACAGCCAGGTAGGCGGGTGCGGGCGGGCTCAGGAGGTGCTGGTGTCGCAGGCTGGGGGACCACGCCACGGAGGTCCCTTGCCATGCTCATGTTTGCTGAAGAGGACGGAGGCTCGGGAATCAGCTCTGGCTGGATTTTGAGAGTGGATCCTGGCTCAGGCCCAGGAGGCTCAGCGCAGTGAAGTCTGGATTGCCTGTGTCTACAGTCGCTCAGCCCCAGGAGGGTGGGGACCCTGGCCAAGGTGTGCAGCGGCCCCACAGTAGCCAACCAGCAGCAGAGCAGGAAGGATGGATGCGAGGAGGGCAGAAGAGGGGTCAGGCCTGGACAGGTGGAAGCGTGGGTTCCTCACTCTGCTGTGATCGGTGCTTTCCACCTCCCTGCGCCCCGCATGTAGGCTCAGACCCCTTCCCCCAACCCCATGCAGGGGCACAGGTGCCCTTTGTCACAGCTGCTCAGTCAGCTTCCGAGGGGAGCACTGTGCATGTGGGGGTGCAGGCCAGGGCCAGGCCTCTCCCACGGCTGCAGCACAGTCTCTCGCCTGCCTGGCAGCACGCAGGTATGGTCAGGGAGGCCCAGGCCAGGGGTCCCAGCTTCACCCCTACCTCCCCTGCAGCAGATTGAACTTGGGGAACCCTCCAGGCCTCAGCGGAATTTCCTGCCTGGCAGAGGCTGGACTGGGAGGCCTCTGACCCAGGTCCCTTCCCTAGTTTGAGGGTCCCCAGGAGAGGCCTAGATGCCTTAGGGGTGGCAGACCGGCCCTTCAGGAACCCTGAAGATGTCCCTCATCAGTGTTGTGCTTTCCCACAGGGAGTCCTGGGGAGTAATGGCCAAGCCCTGAGCCCCATAAGCCCACCAGCCCCCACGGCTGACCCTCCCCACAAAGCTGTGCAGCACACTCCTGGGAAGGGGTTTTTATATACTGAAGAGAAAAGCTTTTATTGGGAAAGAAGTTGGTTCGATTTATTCACTTCTTAGTAACAAGGAGCATGGTGGGAAAGAACAAAGGGGATACTGGGAATCAAACTGGGGGGGGGGGTCCAGAATCCCTTGCGTCTGGGGCTCTGGGGTGGGAGGGGTGTGGTGCAGGGGTGATTGATAAAGCTGGTGGAGTGAAGGCACTGGTCGGTTGTGTCACAGCAATCCCAGCCTGGCTCAGTCCTTGCCCTTCCCTTTCTTGGCTGTGAAACAAGACAAACATGCTGTCAGCCAGATTATCTTAACCCAGTAGGGACCGCCATCCCAGGACATCAAAGAGAAAATACCGCACCCAGGTAATTTTTTTTTTTTTTTTCTTCTTGTGAGACAGGGGCATTCACACTGAGGTACATAGTCAGCCTTTTTTTTTTACAATTTTGAGGCAGGTCTTGCTAAATCACTGATTTGCCCGGTTTGGGCTCAAACTTTAGATGCTCCTGCCTCTGCCTTCCAGTGTGCTGGAATTAGTCAGACACAGTGCTGCCCTTCTGACTTTCTGTCAGCTGACCCAGAAACAGAAGGGTAGGGCAGTCACTGTTCACACCTTGCCTTCCATTTCCACCCTGGATCAGACCTTCCAACTTCCTGGTCCCAGGCCGGGGCAACAGCCTTGGCCTCCTGACTGGGCAGCTGCCCCCCCTGCCCTGCTGACCTCTGGACTGCTGGGAGTGAGGGGGCAGCAAGGTGCCTCGCGAAGCCCTTCCCATCGCCAACGGGACTCCGTTGGCCGCCCTCCTGGAGAGAGATCCTACAGAGCTCTCCCTGGCCCCTGGACGGTGGATGCTCCAGGGCCCAGAGCGCTCATGCCGAAGGCTGCTCCAAAGTCAGGCCACTGGGGCGTCGCTGGCCCGGCCACGCGACTCCAGGTTTCACTACTGGCAGAGAGCGGGGCAGCCCCTGCGACCTCACCCCGCGCCCACCTTTGGCCTTGGCTTTGGTCTTGGGCGCGCAGGGCTTGGTCACGCGGATGGTCTCCTGGCACTGGGCGTTGTACCGCGCCTTCTTCAGGGTGCCCTGGCGCGCTTTGGTGCCAGTGCCCCCATCGCATGCCCCCCAGCTCTCAAACTTGTACTTGCAGTCGGCTGGTGGAAGAGCCCGAGGCAGGGGTCAGAGCGAGTCTGGCCGGTGCGGCCGCCCGCCCGCCCCACCGCCGTGCCGCCCTCACCTCCGAACTCCTTCTTCCAGTTGCAGGGCACCCGGCAGCGGAGGCGCTGCGTCTGCGCCCCGCAGGCACCGTCGCGGAAGCCCGCGCCGCAGTCCTTACTGCTGGGGACGCAGGGGCCCCAGGTCCACTCGGCACACTCGTTGCCCGCGCCGCCCTTCTTGCTCTTGTCTGCGGGGCCAGGACACAGCTCAGGACGCGGGCGCCGCCGGGGCTCTCCACTCGGGGTCCCCCGCATCCCTTCGGCCCCACCCCTCACCTTTCCTTTTGGCCGCCGTGGAGGGCAGCGCCAGCAGGGTAAACAGGGCAAGGAGGAGGAAGCCTCGGTGCTGCATCCTGGGGGACAGCGGCGTCAGAGTTCCTCGTCGGCCCCCTTCCCACGGGGCGTCGCCCGCGCCCCCGGCCTTCCAGGCCCCCTCCCGCGGGTCGGGCCGCGCCGCGAGCAGGGGCCCCCGGGTGCCGCGAGCAGGACAGCCCAGCCCCCGCGCTCACTTGCTCGCCGCCCGCAGCTCGCGCCCTCCCACGCCGGCCCGGGCAGTCCTGTCCCGTCCCGTCCGGTCCCGCTCGGTCCTCTGCGACCCCTTTTGTCTCCAGAACCGGTCTGAGCCGGTCACATGGGCCCCCGCCCCTCCCCCAACGAGGAGGCCCGCCCCCTCCCGCAGCCCCGCCCAGCTCCAGCGTCCCCGCCCAGTCTCCCGTCCCACCCACGCCGGCCCTCGCACCCTCTGGCGACCCCCAAATCCACTGCTTGGAGGTCTGGGCCCCGGGCCCGAACTCTCGCCTTGGTTCTCTGTTGCTCCCTGCCGCGTCCCCTCGTGGAGGGATGGATGGGGCAGCAGGGGCCCGGAGCCCCACGGGTGTCACCGGCTCTTCCGGGGTCCCCAGTGCGCGGGGGCAGACCCCACCTGGACTCGAGTCCCCCGGGGCCTAGAGTCGCGGCTGCGTGGGTAGCCTTGACCCGGGAGAAGGCGCCCAAGTGGCAGCGAGAGCGCGCACACGCCTCCGAGAGCGCAGGTTGGAGGAGCGGAGGGGCGGGGAGGAAGGCCCGGGCCCGGGTGTGGGACGTGGGCCGCTGAGAAGTTCCAGACTCTTCCCGCCAGGCTGCCGTAAGGCGCCGTCTTCCCGCAGCCCAGGCTGCAGGCGTACCCGTCGACCCCCACAGCGCAGGGAGGAAGCCACCCTGTCCCCGCCCCACCTCTTCCACTCTTTGTTATCCTAGCTGGGAGCGGGAAGCCCAGGAGCCCGACTCCGCCCTTGGCCCCAGAAGCCGGCAGCGGGCAGAGGTCAGGAGCCGGGCGAAGCCTCGCCCCAGGAAAGGGGCTGGATTGGCGACGCCCACTCTCCGACCAGAGGATAACCCGTCTGGCTGACCCCTCTGCTTCGGGAGGACCCCCAGGGGGAGGGGAATGAAGGCCAGAGAGGAAAAAGAAATCCACTTTACTGAGACACACCCCAGCTGTAAACATGTCACCCGACAGCCCCACCCGCCCCACCCACCCCACCCCGGCCCGGCCCCTGGCCACACAGTCCACGATGAAATGCTGGGTACATGGGAGGGTAGGGTCACCAAGGTTGGTGCCAAGCAGGGCAGGGCCGGCCAACACGGCAGGCTGTGTTCCAGGAGAGTGGTAAAGAGGTGAGGGGTTGAGCTCCCAGGAGCTGGGTGGGCCCTGGGGACCAGGTAGCCTGTAGAGCCTCTTCCAGAGGCTTGTTGCCCTGTGCCCAGCCAGGCCTCTCCTCAGCGCATCTGCCCGGCTGAGGGCAAGGCTGTCCCGCAGTGGCCCAGCCACCCGGTTCTGCTATGAGCCTGGGGGACAAGTTGCAGGCTGAGAAGAAGGCAGGTGACAGTCCCAGTTCCTCGGAGTCCAGCCCTAGGTCATGAGGGCAGCTCCTTCCCTGGGGCAGGCTCCCCCTCCAGTGGCAACTGGAATGTAGCAGTGAGGTGGGCACCAAGGCAGCTCATCCTGCGCTGTCCCTCCAGCTGCCCCGCCCTCTAGGCTTCAGCTACACAGCTGTCTCCTGGTCCTCACGCTGGATCATCTGGTAGTGCTGCCGGTTCTCAAGGTAGGCAGCCAGCTCAGCGTCCTGTGCCTTCTCAGCCCGTTGCCGGGGAGTGTCGCCCTGAGAGGGAGTACAAGAATCCTTGAAGGCACCTAAGCCCAGGGCACCAGCTCCTCCCAAACTCCGCTCTCAGGGGCTGGGCTGTGTTGGCTGAAAGCTTTCAAATCCCAAGTGGGGGGCATGCCCATTTGGGAAAGGCTGTTCACCTGCTGGTCTGTCTTCATGAGTGACGCCCCGGCTTCCACAATGTAGTGGCAGATGGTGCGCTGGCCCAGGGCCGCCGCCTGGTGCAGACAGGTCTCTCCACTGGGGAAGAGGGGCTGGCTGTGGGACCTGAGCCCTGTGGCCTCCGGAGGGGCATCAGCAAGGGCTGGGGTGGCCCACTGGAGGGCAGCCTGGCCAGAAGGGTTCATGGGGTCTGGCTGACCAAATGGGAGGAAGTGGAGGCCGAGCTCCCTCTCATATACTCACTTCTCCTCCACTGCATCAAGGATCTCAGGGGGTGCTGCGGAGGACAACATGAGGTCAGAGAGGCCTGGCAGCCCCCAAACTGCAACCTAGCCCCAGGGGCGCAGCTCACCTTGGTCCAGCAGGTAGCGGACCACTTCCTTGCTGCCCGCACCCACCGCATGGTGCAAGAGCGTGCGGCCACGCGAGTCCCGGTGCATGAGGTCCCCTCCAGCTCGGTGCAGCTCCTGCAGCTGTGGGCACAAGAGAGCAGGGCTGCTCTGGGTTCCTCTCCCCAGTGCCCAGGTCTACAAGCATGTACCCCTACAAAAGCTGCTCCCCATCTGATTCCTCCACGCCTGCCCCTTTCTCAGCACCAGAACAGCTGGCCTGTAAGACACCTGCTGGGCCCCAACATCTGGGGCCAGGTGGGATGGGATCACTGCACGAGACCCACGGGGGCCAGACAGCAACAACGCCAGGGCCCAGCAGGCGGCTCTGGGCCCAGCCGCAGACCCCATGTCCCAGGAGCAGCTGTACCTTACAAAAGTCGTTCCTCTGGGCAGCTTCAATCAGCGCCTCACCTGCAAGGACACCTGCCAGTCACACTGAGGCAAACCAGGGCTTGGGGGTGCAGGTAAGAGATCGTGATCATGTGACTTGTACAATTATGAGAGCTGTAGGGCTCAGTGGCTGCTTGTGGGCCATCTCCCGCCCTCTAAAAAAAACCCAAAACAACAAAAAATACGTATCACCAGGGAAGGCAGGAAAGGGCCTGGGGAAGAGGCCTTACCTGGGGGGGGCACAGCATCCCCTTGCAGTGACCTGCGAACAGAGCAGGACAGCTCGTGACCCAGCTCAGCCTGGCTAGCTGGGGCCCTCCCTTACCCCTGCTGGTGGTGCTCTGTGTTCTTTCGAGTTGTCTGTGTGCTTGCTGTACAGCAGCACTGACCCAGGCACAGGGTGTTGCAGGGAACAAGGTGGAAGCAGAGGCTGCCCTCCCAGGGCCACAAACAGGCCCAGGAGAGCGCTGGCTGGGGTCCATGCCCAAGGGGCCCTGGGGAGGACGGGACAGTGTGAGGCGGTCAGGACGAGCCCCCGCTTGGCACACAGGCCTCCAACAAGGAGCAGCCTGGCAGCCAGGCCTGGCTGGGACAGGAGGGGGCAGAGACGAGTAGCCCTGGGGCTCTCAGAGGACACAGGAGCCAGGAACACAAGGCCAGTCCCTGCGGTGAGGGAGCAGGGCTGCGGGTGCTCTGGGCTGGGCCACCCTTCTAGGCGCTGGCTCACAGGCACATGGCTTGTGGACAGGCTGGGGCCAACAGCAGGGATTTGGAAGCAACCAGCTGCAGACAGGTGTCCACCTAGTGGACAGGGGAGATGGGGTGCTGGGGCTCACCGGGGCGTTGGGGAGCAGGGGGAGGCAGGAAGGGGGGATGTGGGGGTGGGGAGGTCCGGCCTGGCCGATGCCCCCAGCAGCTCGGGATCCAGGATGTAAATCTCGTCCTGGGCGATCTCAGTCACATAATTGAGGTGCTCCTGTGAGGAGAGAGCAGGGCTGGGGCACAGGCAGCATCGCAGGAGGGAGGTGGCAGGCCCTGCGGCCCCCACCCTCCTTCACACTGCCCAGGCCCAGCCCTGCCCCGGACGCTGGGGTGCTTGTCACCGTCCGGCCTCTGCCCGGGTGCTGTGCTGTCTTGTCTCCTCAGAGGACACCATGCTTCTAGGCCCTCCCAGCCAGCGGAGGGAGGGGTGCAGGGAGCCACCAGGTGGGGCGCTGGCGGAGAGCTCACCTGTGCGCGGTCAATCCTGTAGAAGCGGCTGGCTGTGGTAGCTACAGAGAGAGTTGGCCAGGGATGAAGGTTGAAGTCCTAGCCCTGGCCCAGGGGGAGGGAGGCCAGCCTGAGCCCCCAGGACTGATCCTACGTGTACTCACCATCCAGGAAACACCACTTGGGCGACAGTTTCTGGCCTGTTGGGGACTTTGCTCCAGCACTGTCAAACTCCTGGAAAGAGACACAAAGGCTGGGGTAGGGCAGAGCTGGTGGGGAGCAGTGAGCAGGGTGCACCCCACATCCTCCCGCCCTGCCTCAAACCTGCTGCAGCCTCTCAATGTGGGCACGGCAGAGCTCTAGGTCACTGTCTCCGGGGACCACCACAGTGCCCAGTGGCACAGCTAGGGGAGAGCAACATGTGAGCACGTGGCTGTCCTCACTGCCCATGTGTAGTTCCTTGCCCACCCGGCTCCTGGCAACCGCCACTCACAGGCCTCTTTGAGCTGCTCCTTATCATAGTGCAGGGCCTCATAGTCGTGCATGCTGACCCTGCTCACCTGGATCCGCAGCTGCTCAGGGACAGGCTGCTGGCTGTGAGGTGGGGCAGGTCAAGGAGAGGGGGCTCACCAAGCTCAACAACACTGATGGATGCCCTGCCCTCCTGGACCCTAGGGGCAAGGGGACCATTACTCCCCAACCCCTACCCTGCCAGGGATGGAAACCAGGGCCTGTGCACACTAGGCCACAGCCCAGCCTGGCAGCCCGGATCATGACTGCAGCCCGGGGGGGCACGCACTCGCTGTGCAGGGGCGCAGCGCTGCGCCGCTTGGCCTTCTGCACCATGGTGGCCTGGTTGCGCAGGGCGATGCGGATGCGTGAGGCTGCCAGCTTGCAGGGCTCGCCGTCCACCTGCACTGGGATGGCCTTGGCCGTGGTGAGCAGCACCTCACGGCACTGGGTGAGCCGCTCACCGTGCCCGCCCACCTGCAGCGCTGCCTGCGGGCACAGGGGTCAGGTCAGGGGGGTGCTAGGGCTCTGGGAAGAGATACCCCCCACAGTGTAGACTGGAGAAGGTGCCCAAGGGCCCAACGCTCAGAGGACACGGGCTGAGAGTCTCTCAGGAGTCAGAGAGAGGCCAACAACCGGAGGCAGGGTGACCCTTGCAGCATCAGGCTCTGCTCGCGGGCACTGGGCCAGGCAGGGCCAGGGAGAAAGTAGAGCCAGGCCCACTCACCAGGGATGTCATGGTGAAGCCGATCACCTCGAGGTAGCCGTCGTCGTGCCGCTGAGGCTCAAAGTCATGGTGTTCCCCAGGGTGGCCCCAGGGCATGGTGCCCGCACAGTACCTGAGGGCAGCGGAGGGGCAGGCTTTGGTACAGGCTTCAGGGATGGGCAGTGCGGCTGGCAGGGCCGCTGGAGCCCGTCCTCACCTGGGGATGTTCAGGAAAACGATGCACTGGGGTTTGAGGTCCTGAATCTTGGGGGTCAGGTCTGTTCCGTCACACTAGAGGTGAGAATGAGGGAGTGCTGGGCACACACGTGCCTGGGCAGCCTCCCTCCCTGCAGGGCCTTCTGCCTGCTAGCTGCCCACTCACCACCACTCGGATGTGCTTGGCCAGGTCCTTGGAGCTGCCCATCAGGAAGTCAGAGAAGGCTGTCTGTGGGAGACAAGTTGTCACCATCTCGTGACGGGGACTTTGCTGCTGCTGCTGGAAGGTTTAGTGGCCTCGTAGACACAAGGGCCATGGAGGCTGGAGTGCCTCCAGGTCCCAACTCACCCCGGCATAGAACATCTTATTCCGAAAGCGGCTGTTGAACTTCTCTGGATTGGCCTCTGCATGGAGACAGGCCAGGAGTAGTTACTGGGCACTTCCCAGGCCAGGAACAGGCGCCTTCACCCCAGCCCCTCCCTGCCTGGCTGCCCACCTCGAGACTCATGAAACTCCAGGGTGACATGGGCATCAAAGCCCAGGCTGAAGTAGTTGTTGAAAACATCCAGGGGCAGCTAGAGAAAGATGGGGGATGAGATGAGGATAGCCTCACTGATGTCCCATGCTTCCAAAGGTCTGCCTGGGGACCCTCTGCCAACACCCTGTCCCCTTGTCCCCAGCCCCAGGGAGCATGCCAGCACCACCCCTCAGCACCCACTGTCCCCCATGCCAAGCACTGCATGAGCTCCAGGAGTGGGTACTGTGTTCCCCAGAGCTTGCAACAGGGCCTGGCACAAAGCGGGTTCTTGATATTTGCCAGTGACTAAGAAAAACAACCCCGGAGCTGGTGAGATGGCTCAGTGGTTTAGAGCACCTACTTAGAACAAGCTTAGCAAAGCACAGGGACCACGGTTCAATCCCCCAGCCACCACATGCCAGCCAGCCCGCCCCCTGGTGGGCTGAGCTGGCCACACACACACACACACACACACACAAATAAATAAAATTAAAAAAAAAATAAACTATAAAAAAAAAAAAAAAGAAAAAAGAAAAGAAAAACAACCCCGGCAGGTGGCACCACTACTCCCCAGGGATTTTTTGAAAACTAGAGGACCCACCCCAGTTCCCTGCCCAGGTCTCCAGCCCGACCCACCCGATCAGTGGCACCCTCGTCTCGCTCTTCGGGCCCTGTCTCAGGGTTGGGCTCAGCCCGGAGGTCCCAGCGGTCCAGCTGCACCACGTTGCCCTCCTCAACATGGGACAGGATCTTGGACACAGGCTCATCAGTATAGCCCTGGTGGGAGAAAGACAGGATGAGCCCTCCTGGGTCACAGCGGCTGTGGAGGGAAGCCCTTCTCTCTGGGGACACTTACTCCACCCCAGTTGAGGGTGCGGGCCAAGTCATTGCCGGTCCCCAGAGGCAGGATAGCCACAGGGGGCGGTGGTTTCAGGCGCAGCTGGTCCAGGGTGGAGAGAATCCAGCCAACCTGGGGAGGTAGAGCGGCGGCAGTCAAGCCCCTGAGCACAGCGAGCGGCCCGACCCAGTTCCAAAGACCCACCGTGCCATCGCCACCGCACGCCAGGATCCGTAGATTATGTACTTTGCGGTACATTTCCAGCCTGGGCCAGAAGACAGGAGTGGGGTTGGGGGTGTGCCACACCCCACAAGAGGCAAGAACACACCCCCAGAACCCGCCAGGTCCTTACGCCTCCTTAGGCCCTCCCTGGCTCAGGTCAAAGACTTGCCGGGGGTTGAGGTACCAGAGGAAGGACTGAATTATCTTGGCGCCCTGTTGGGGACAGAGGGACAGAGAGGTGAGGAGATAAAAGCAAGGCTGGAGGCAGTGGGGGAAAGTGGCGAGGGGTACAGGAAGGGTGACAGGGCATGGCCTCTTGGGGCCCATGGACACAGATGGATCCAGGAACACCTGCCGCAAGGGATGTCTCCAAGCCCAGCCTGGAGCCCAAGCTGTGCTTACCTGGTTGCCTCCACTCTTGGGGTTCACAAACACCAGCAGGGGCTTCATGAGGGGGGATGGGGTGGGCCGGATGACGAAGGGTCTCCAGCGGCTCTCCTTAGAGACACAGAGCCCGTGAGGCTTGGAGTGTCCTGGAGGTCCCCTCCTGGGCCCTGGGTGATATGCTACCCTTGCTCCGCATACCCTCGTGCCACCAGTCAGGCTGGGGGCCCCACCCAGGCCAAGCTGGGCCTTATATGAAGGTGGCACTGGCAGCAGGTGGCCTCCCTCTCCTGTCCCTCCCCTCCAACCAGCTCGGTCTAACCTCAGGCCCCTTCTTGCTGGATTTCCTCTTAAAGGACGCTCTCTTCTTCTTCTTGCTGGCCTTGAGGGTGCTCTGTGATGAAAGCAGAGCTGTGGGTGAGTGAAGCAGGCCTAATATCCCAGGGTGGGGGCAGTGTGCAGCATGGGACTCACTTGGGGCCTCCGGGCACGGAGGATCCAGGTGGGCGGGATGACCACAGCCGCATGGACCCCCAGGGAGCAGGGCTCCTCGATCTGCTGCAGCATGAAGCACGACACCTTGCTGTGGTACTGGAGGGGAAAGCAGGCGAGGCTAAGCCAGGCTGGGCCGAAACTAGGACCTGCCCCAGTGTGGTGTCTATGAGGCCCAGGTCACCACTTACTGCCTGCTTGCACCAGGAACAGCTGATTGCCACGATCTCCTTGCTATGGAAGGTGAACTTCTGCTGGAAGCCCTGTGGTCAGACAGGCCAGCTTTATGAGGGCCACGGCCAGATCGGCCACTCCTCTGCTGCCAGCCTCTCCCGTAGGGAGACTAAGCCCACGCTTAAAAAGCCCAGCAACAGAGAATAGACCTGGATACAGGGATGCTTAGCCACTTTGCCAGACATACCAAGGGCCAAATCCTGCCTGGTCCTTTCTGTTTCCTTCAGCCAGACCTGACCAGACCCTGGATCGGCTGGGTCCTCATGGCAGCCAACACCACATCGTTCCCTTCCGCCTGGCACAGGTGCTGCCCTTGCACCAGATAAATACAAAGCCATCAAGGGAGCAAGCCACTGTGCTTTGCCGGGAAGACGGGCAGCAGGGCCAAACTCGCCAGGCAGCATGGTCCCTATTTGCTGAGCTAGTGAATGAGTATGCAGGGGTCTTGTATGACACCCAAGCAGCCGAACACTGCTCTAGAAGCCAACTTTCCTCCTGCCAAGAGACCCAAGGTGTAGCCAGAGCATTTAGGGATTGAGGCGGCCTGTGACCCTGCACTGGGGGCAACGGTTAGTGGGAGATGAGCTGCAGGGCTATGGGCAGTGGTCCTCACCTTCCCGCAATGCCGGCACTTGCCATCTTGCCGTCGCCTGTGCACCCAGTGATGCCTTACGAAGGTCGGCTGGGGGCGAAAGGTATCACTGGGGTAAAGGGGTGAGGAGCACAGCACTACAGATGTCCAGCTCTGTGGCTGAGACTCACAGGAGGGACACAGAGGGCTGGGGGTCAGACAGGGCCACGAGGCACAATGAAGCACTGGTGCCTCACCTGCTGTAGGCAGGGCCAGCTAGGCCTCCCTTTTCCAGACCTCAGAGTTGGGCCCAGCCCCTGCTGGGCCCCCAGAACAGCTCAGAAGGACCTGAGCTCCTGGTGGCACTCAGGAGGCACTGCAGAGGGACCCCCTCAGGAACTCAGGGCATCTGGTACTTAACCATCTTGCACACTTACTTCTCGGACATTCCTCGAGCCTGATTCCCGGAACGATGGCTTACAGCGGAAGTTGATCTGTGAGAGCAGCAACCAGTGTCAGAAGCTGCTTTGCAGCGGGTCTTCAGAGCCACCCTTGAGGGCACAGTACCCCAAACTGGCCCAGGAGCCCTTAAGGACATGGCTGCCTCCTCCCAGAAGTCCCCCTGTCTGCTAGCCAGAAAGGGTCTTTCCTTTCCCTTCCCAGGTCCCCAAGGGGCCCCATGGTGGTTTATTCTGTTTCCTCGCCCCTAGTGCCCCTGGCTGAGGAGAAGGCAGGAATCTGACCCCAGCTAGAAGGCCAGAAGCTAGTGTGGACTGGGTTTAATTTTCACCGTCCACAAATGGGCTGCATTTCACCTTCTCTTTACCTGCTTGCTTGGCCCTGGGAAGCACCGGAGCCTCAACCTATGGTTTGGGGCCAGCAAAGCAGCCTGCCCCTGCAGAACTTGGGGCACTTGGGGACACTCGCAAGTGGAGCCTACAGGCTGGGGAGTCCTTGTCCCTGCACCCACTCCCTGTGTGACGGAGCGCCAGCCCAGGGGTGTTCTTGGCCTCTGCCTTAGAAGTATAATGCCCAGATTCACCCCTGCGGCAGACACGGCACACACAACGGTCCTTGGCAACAAGGGTCTCTCCGGAGGCGGTACACAAGGGACAGAACCAGGCTTGGGGTGACAGGACCAGCTAGTCAGAGCCTTTTCTAAATGTTAGTGTGGGTGTCATCAATAAATGGTACTGTGGCACCATTTGCTAGTCCACGCTGCCAAGCAACACCCAGGGAGCCCGACTGTGCCAGGTGTGCTCTAGCAGCGGGCACAGCAGCTGACAAACAGGGAGCCAAGGTGGAAGGTGGGCCATGGCTCCAGAGTCCTTGCTCTGCTGCCACGCACTGCGATGCCCCAGGGAAGGCAGACACTGGTGTGATGCGTGTGGACATGAGTGTGCGGCACTCACCTTCTCCAGCTGCTCAATGCAGGGGGTGTGTACCACGATCTTGCAGGCTGCACATTTTTTCCTGGGCACCGATTTCTGCTACAGGACAGAGAGGCCCTGAGGCACCAGCCAGCACCATCACAGATGCCACCTCAAACCAGCAGAGTTCTCCTGCACCTGGCTCAGCACAGCTGCCCTGCACGTTCTGGGCACTCCCACTCCAGCGCCTGGCACCAGGACCAGCTCCCGTTTCCTCAGCCGGTACAGTGCACAGGTGGGGACTCAGGTGAACCCTCCCCACCTTGGGAAGGGCTGCAGCTGTCAGACCATGTCCAGACCTTGCTCCACCACCAGGGGGCAGCAGCTCCACAGAGCTCACTCACCAGCATCTTGGCAATGCAGTACTGCTCCCCAACATAACAGAAGTCCCCAGAAACGTTGGTCTCAAACCAGATGTGCTCCCCATACGTGGCTGACTCCTAGACCGCGGGACAAGCATGGCCCATGTACACTGGCTGTCTTCCAGCCCCTCAGCCCCTTGCCAGCCCTTCCTCTCCTGGGGTGAATGGGCTCCCAACACCAATCTACTCTGCCCTATCTGCACCACTGTCTACTTGCTAGGCCTGGTGCAAAGCCAGCCAGCCAGCCCCAGGAAGACTGCCCAGACTCCATAGGCAAGGGGCTCCCTGTCCCCAGGGCCCACAGGGCTGAGTAGAGCACAGGCAGCCCCCGGGGTGTGGAGGTGGTGCCCATTCCGGCACCAGTTACTCACACTCCAGTCCACAGTGCTCCGTATCTGCCGCTCAGATTCGCCGCACGGGGGCCCAAGGGGGGGATGTGGGGGTGCCAGGTGCTGGAGGCCCGACTTGGTGATGGCTTTCCTATAAAAAGGGGACAGCTAAGGCTGGGGCTTGCTGGGCATGGCTGATTCTCCTTCCTTCCCACCACCCGAAGCCACCACCCTTGTATGATCTCCACCTGGGCCAAGACAGAGCGCAGTGACAGGGGAGGCAAAGGAGCCAGTAGCCTCTCTGGTACCCGGAGGTCCCTGCCAGACTCAGCTCTCCTCCTGGCTTCTTGGGATGTGCTGGCTTCCAGCACTGCCCAAAGGGGAGCCACTGCCTGGCTGGTGGGGCTTGGAGGGCCCTGCCCACATACTCCCACAGGCTGCTGCAATACCTACACAAGCAGCGTGCTCCAGGCCTGGGATCCGGCTACCGCCTTGCGCCGCAGGGCTACCTGGCGCCTGCGGGACAGCGGTCGTACCCGGGGAGGAACTGCGGGGCACAGGGAGGTGCCCGAGGCTCTTCGGCCCCCAGAGCTAGGTTGTCGCTGGCTGAGGCGATGATAGTGGCCATGCAGGCCCCAGAAGGTGTGGTCACACACATCAGTGGGGAACAGGTGGGAGGATGCCCGGCGCAGACACTGGGGCACAAGCAGCAGCGGTGGCCGGGGACCCTGATGCACAGGGGGCTCTAGAATCCCAGTGCCAGGCTGAGGAGAGCTGCGTGCCCTGGCCATAACCTTCTCTTCCTGGACCCCCTCCTCCTGCTCCTCCTTCACGCCTACAAGTCCAGCCAGCAGCAGGGGTGTGCACAGGTCCTGGGCCCCAACAGCAGCAGGCTTCAAGGTGGGCACCTCATTCACGGTGAAGCGAGGGTTACAGGTGGGGGGTGCGGTGCTAGAACGCCGGCGGCAGCTGGCACCCCGGGCAACTAGCCCACAGCCTAGGAGGCAGCCCTGCAGTTGGGCACTGGAGCGGCGCCGCTGTGCCAACGAAGAGGAGGCCTGCCCGGCAGGTGAGCGACGCCGGGCCTTGCTAGTGGGCAGCCCTGCACCACTAGGCCGCCGCAGCCCCTGTCCAGAGCTAGATGCCTTCCACTGGAAGTGTTTCCTAAAGAAGGTCTCCATGCCAGGGGCGGGCTGGGGCTGTTGGGCAAAGACCAGGGGCATCACAAGCTGGCCAGGCTACAGCCCACCAGTGCCCACAGGTAGAGACAAGAGCAGGTTTGAGATCACCCTGGCCTCCACGGGTGAGCACAAAGGCCACGGCATTCGCAGGGAGACCACACTGACAGCTGCTCAGCACTGACTGACCCTCTCCGCAGCAGAAAGAATCCTAGGCTGCCCAGGAAGTCCTGGGTGGGTAGCCTTCCCCACCTGGACACCAGCACCACAGAGTCCCAGCCCCAAAAGGACTTCCTGTTGCCTGCCAGGAGCCGGAAAGAGAGAGAAAGGAGTGTTTACCCAAGGCCAACTGCAGCATGGGTTTTGCCCCCAACATGGGATGGATGGCACTCTCTGTGGAGGCCTGCAGTGCTGAGCAGACTCTGGATGCAGTGCCAGCCCTGGGGCCAGACTGAGGGAGGCACCTAGAAACTCCTAGTCAGGGAGATCTGCCGTCTGGCTTCAGGCTTACAAGTGCTGCGAAGCAGGCCTCTGAAACGGGAGTCAGCCCTGTGGGGAGCAGTCCCTCCTGCCTCTACTCAGATGAACGTGGCAAGAGGCCTGGCCAGGGAGAAGGCTCTGGATTCTTGTGTGCACCTGTCTGCAGCCCCAAGAGCTTTCTGGTATTCAATGCCTCTGTCTCTCCAGTGAAGGGACAGAGTGGGGATATCCACATGACACCTGTGTCATCCCCCAGCTCTGACGCTGGGTTCCCCTCACTCGTGTCTCCCCAGCCCTTCCCTCACACACATGCCATGATCATCATGCCCACACACTCCAGACTCTCGGGCAAGGGCCTGAGCCTCTCAAGGGCCTGAGGTGCCCGTGTCCCTGCCAGGGGTTCTCTTGAGCCCTGGCCCTGAAGCTGAAGACAGCCATGGACTGGTGTTACCTGGGCCAATAGGACAAAGTCTTCTCCCTGCCAATGCCTGGCTGAAGCCAGGCACTGGGTTGGGGGGGTGTCTTGGGCCTGCAAGGGGTTTAGGAATACAAGCTAGAGCAATTGGTACACAGGGACACAGCAGGGCCAGGGAATCCGTGTGAGTGACCAGCGCAGGGTGGCGTCTTACAGCCCCAAAGCATGGGCACCTCTCAAACCAGACATCCCAGCCAGGAGGCAGGCTCAACACCACACTCCACCCTTTGCCTATGCTTTCTTTACGAATGGTAACAACCTCACACTGTATTCCTGGTAAGGAAACTGAGGGATAGACAAGGAATCTGCCCAGAGCCCCAGGTAGTCAGCAAGGAGACGCACACCTTCCCTTTAGCATGGCCTGCACCCCAAGACAGAGCGCAGACAGGGCAGAGGCAGGGTCTTCCTGCTTGGATCAGCAGCGGGGTTGAGGTAGGGGCTTTAGGAGGGAACCATACTCTACCAAATACCTGCTCTGCCCTGGGTCACAACCCCAGGATGGGGTGGGATTAGGAGCCCCAGGATGACAGAGTTGAAGAAATAGAGCCTTGAAGGGATAAAGAACATGCCCAGGTCACACGGCCAGCTGGTACAGAGCCAGCCAAGCCAAGGTCTACCTGATGCAGGGTCCTGCGAAAGGCGTCTTCTACCCCTGCTGCCCAGGCACTGGCTTGCCAGCCCTGCCCGGGTGTCAGCTTTCCCCACCCATCTGCTCAGACTGCCCTGTGACAGCTGCCTGCCTGGAGATGTGTCACCCAGACACATCGCCTGATGCAAGTGTCACCCCGAAAACAAAAGGCCACAGTCCATGTGGGGTTGGTGCCACCGGGCTCGTTGGGCCCTGCCTGCCTGTCCTGCACCCACAGTGGGGGCCAAAAGGGAGGTGGTGTGCACCCTAGTCACAACAGCGCAGCCACCCACTTCTACAGAGCCCAGGCCACCCCACTGCACCACCCTGCCCCCCTCTGAGGGGCTGCTCAGCCACCCAGGGCAGGCAAGGCAGGCCAGGCCAAGCCAGTGTGGTCATGTATCATGGGTCTCAGTCTCCCTGTGTGTCCAAGGAGGGTGCTAAGCTGGCTCACATTCTGCCACAGGCTCTCTGACCACGCGCCCAACCCCCAGGTGCCCAGTGCCCCCTCCTTTAGGTCCCGTGCTTCCTGTTCCTCTGATCCCCATGGCAACCTCCGTCTTCTGGTCAGCGATGGCCTGACTCCTCACTTCCTATCTTGCCGAGGCCTCTCTTGGGGTCTGATCAGAAGCCCTGTCCAGGCCTGGAGCCTCTTGTCACGGCCAGCTCTGTGCAACCACTCTACCTCCAGCAGCCACAAAACACATGTAAAGGTCACTGAAGGAGGCCTGCATGCCTGATGTCCAGGCAGAAACGTGGCTACCACTGGGCCTCCTGGCAAGGAGCAGGAAAAAGCCCAGCACAGCAGAGCCAGCAGAGCAGGAAGGGGCTCACAAGACCCCATCAATCTCCGCAGCTACCAGGACTCTGTCAAGGGCAGGGCAGGGGGTAGGACCACAGATGCCACTTGAGAGAGGACGTGGTAGTGTTGGGCCATGGTGGCTCAGCTAGGCCACCTGCCTGCAGGGTTAGCAGGCCTCATGCATTCTTTATCAGCTGCCAGCTAGAAATGACTCCTGACCTCTGGGCCAGACCCGATGCTCACTGCACCTGATGCCAGCTGCAAGCAAGAAGACAAAGCCCTTTGGAATCCTGAGTTTTACCATCACCACCTGGGCTAAGCAACTTTCTTCTAAGTCTCAAGTCTCTCGTCGGCAAAACGGGGACCACACCTCCTGGCTCTGAAGTTGGCATGGGAGCTGCAGTGACAGGTGTAAAGGTGCCTTGGACACCTGGGTCCCCAGCCTCCCAGCCTCCAGGGCCTGTGGTCATGCCACCTCCTAGGTTTTGTCTCTGCCCATACAAGTGCAGGAACCTAGAAGGGGAAGCAGGAGTGCTCAGGGTGGCCACCACTCACCACAGGAGGAACAGATCCCAGCAGCCTCTGCCATCTGGGTGTCCACACAATGAAGGGGTACCCTTTCCCTTTGCCCCTGGTACCAGGCTGAGCCCTGGGCAGGATTCCACTGGGTAGGACATAGCGGCCCTACCTCCACCAGCTGGGAGCAAGGCCAGCTGCTTCTCCTAGGGACTGCTCTCTGCTACACCCCACAGCCCAGCAAATCTTGCAATGGCCAGAGTCCCCCAGAGACTTACTCACTAAGGGAATCCTGCCTGAGAGAACAAAAAACAAAGGAGCAAGTGGGCCAGGGCTACGGGTAAGGGACAAGGGGGCAGTCCAGAAAGTGGTTCCTCTCCGGCTCTGCGCCCAAGAGGGTGGTAGGCAGAGCTTGCCAAACCCCCTGCCCCCCCCCCAGCTTCAGGGCCTGCAGGACAGCCTACCCGCCCCAGGGCCCTGGCAGATGCAGAAGGGAGAAACAGAGCAGCATAGGGAGTCCCCTTGACCTGATCAGAAGACAGGGAGGCCGGCAGAAGGCAGCAAGCAGGTGGGCCAGGGTCAGCAGCTCTAGCTCCCGCTCTGCTGCTGGCCTGTTCTGACAGCAAGTCCTAGTTTGGAGAGCAGCTTCGCAGTGGCTGGGCCCTCCCCCTTGCCACCCTCCTCCCCCAGCCTGAGACAGCCGTTATGAAAATAGCCCTACTGGTAACCAACTGCACTTCCTCTCCCAGCAGTGCTCCAGGGCTCGCAGAGGCAGGCGGCAGGCGACGGGCGGGCGGGTGGCACCTGGCACGAGCCTGGCCTCTTGGCTTCTCTTCCCCAGGCAGGACAACAGCCCTGTCAGCGGCCTCTCCTCCCCACCCTTCCAGCCCAGCCTCTGCTCAGCTGCAGAGACTGGGTCTGAGGACAAGAGATTGGGCCTGCGCCTCTTTTAGGGTGGGATGCACTGGCCACTGAATAGAGTCTTGAGTCTGCAAGGCAGGTTTTCTGGGGTCTGGGGCAGAGAAGCTCGCTGGCTCCAAATAAAGCAACCACAAACACAAGTATCTGTGGACTTTCTCAATTTAGGAAGCCTTCCCCCACTATCAGGTGCCAGTGACTGGGAAGCAGCTGACTGCCCCTGAGGCTCTCGGCGGGGCCTGGGACAAGGCCAACTCACAAGTGGCTGCACTGAGACTCCGGGGACCTTTCTAAGCTGCCCTGGTTCATGCCAAGCTGAAGAGTGCCCAGGACACCAGCTCAAGTCATGCATGCCACCTTGAGCCACTGCTGGCTGCCTGTCCTGCTCCGGCTCTGAGGGTCCTCTGAGGGCCCTCAGCTGCTGAGGGTCCAGGCAGCAGCTGTCAAACTCCCGAGGTCAGGACTCCTTTTCACTCCTCAAAATCACTCCAGTTCTAAGAGATGAGAACTTTGGGGGTGGCAGCTATTAATACTTATCATGACATCCAAAATTAAACTGATGGCGTGTGCCTACAATCCTAGCTCTTGGGAGGCTGTAAACAGGTGGATCACTACGAGTCTGATCTAGTAATGAGACCCTGAACACCCTGTAGACCCTTCCCTAAAAAATTACAAAAAAGAAAAAAAATTGAGAAATGTTTAAAGTTCTATCATTTACTTAAAAACAAGAACATCATCACGTTACTCCATAGAACATACTTATAAAATAAGCCTTGCTTTGCTGCCCACCTTTCCAGAGGCAGCAGGTCCTTGATGTGAGGCTGCGCCTGCAGGTCCTCTGCTGCACCAGGTTTCTCTAGGTGAGGCACCAGGGAAAAGGCCTCCCAAGGAGTACAGCTGGGAGAAGAAAGACCCAGCTGGCCTTTCCAGCTAAGAGGCGTCCTTTGGTACTATGCCAAAAGGAACACTAAAAAAAAGAAAAAAGAAAAAGAAAAATGGGACCAGTCAAATAGCTCAGCAAATTAAGTGACTGCTTAGGCAGATGCAGTGGCCAGGGTTCTGTCCCTGGTGTGCCATGCTGACCCCATCCCCAGGGCGCGCTGAGACAGTGACTGAGACTGGGCGTGGTGGCATAAACCTGTAATCCCAGCTCTTGGGGGTGGGGGAGGGGGGGAGGGGCGCTGAACACAGGCAATCCCTACAAGTCCGATCTAAGTAAAGTAGTGAGACCCTGCAGACCCTTACCAAAACACACACACACAAAAAAAAAAGCACGGTCTTGCTACACAGTTCAGGCTGTTCTAAAATTCACAGCAATCCTCCTGCCTCAGCCTCCAGAGTACTGGGATTACAGGGGTGCACCACCACGCCCAGCTTACATTGAATTTTGTAACCTCGAGTACTGGTCACGGGAAAATGGTTTCCTGATCTATGGCAACCTTCCCAACGCTGACCTGTTTCCTTGTGCAACAGCAGAAGACCCATTTGCATGGCCACCGAGCTCACCAGAGACTTGCAACTCTTAGGATGCCATCAGGTACAACCAAGTGGACACAAGTTTCCAAGATTCTCAACAAATGCACCTCATGGTCCAAGAGCTCCAGCTCCTCGACTAGGCTTGCAGTTGGAGACCCTCAGGGGACCTGCACACTCCCTCGCCAGGCTGGTGAAAAGCCCTCTTGCTCAGAGGTCAGGATGCCACACAGGCGCAAGAAGCACCAAGTCATGCTGCCACCTGGGTAGGTGTGACAGCGCCAACAGTTTCACCCCACAGCTTCTGCACCCATATGGGCATGTGGCCAGGCAGCTCAGGAAACACTGCTATGGGACAGTTTTGGCCTCATTTGTGAACAGCCTAAGGCCCCCCAAGACCACACTTTGAGATCCACTGCCTCATAAGGAATTCGAAATCCTCCAGCCTGGCACTAGCCTGGCCTGCTAGGTGCCAAGCCCTTCATTCTAAGTGACCCGAGGTATCCTCTGTCCCTGCCTGCCTGCACCAGACACCCTGCACCTAGCCTCCCTCTGCACCTGTCCCGTGTGCCCATCCTCCCAAGAAACCAGATTTGTCCGCTGTGCTGCACCTGGGGCTGGCAGTGAGTGGGCATGGCCTGGGAGGAAGGAACTGGGAATTCCGTGGGGGAGGGCAGGGCCCTTGGGGAACAGCAAGGCTCCCTCCCCTGGGCATCGCACGGGAGTGCTGGCCACAGGCCTGGGCCACTTCTCTTTGTTGGGCACAAGGGGATGGAAATGATCTTTGTTTGGGTGGCCACCTTCTTCTCCTCTCTGGGAGACCCAGGAGTGACAGCTGAAGGCCCCCTTCTGGGCTGGGAGCCATCATCCAGCCCACATTGTCTGTGACTTTCTTATGAAACCTGGACAGCTGGACTGGGCCACAGGATGGAGGAGGACACTAACTGAGCTTGCTTTTCTTTTCGGCAGTACCAAGTTGGGGATGAACCCAGGACCTCTGCTCTGGCTACATCCTCAGCCTTTCCTATGCTTTTGGGACAGGGTCTCATTAAGTTGCCCATGCAAGGCTCAAGCTTGAAATCGTCCTGTCTCAGCCTCTCAAGAGTGCTGGGATGACATGCATGTGTCATCACACCTGGCTCTAAGGGAGTTCCTTGATGAAATGTCACCAGTCTCCTTCATATTCTGGGTCCCTCGAGTCTGGCTCTGCTAGGCCTGAAAGATGAGTGCAGGGCGAATAGCTCACACTCATTCCTTTAAATCCTCCCTTCAACCATCCTCCCCTACCCTAGAGTTCATCCTAAAGCATCCACTTCCTGGGCACTGGCTCCCTGCTGTCAGCCAACACCACCCTGGGTCCAGCAGGGTGCAATTTCTGGCCTCTTTTCCTGTCTTTCCTTTCTAGGTTTTTTGGTTTGTTTTTTGAGACCGGGTCTTATATAGTTCAGGATGGCCTCAAACTTGTCATGGTTCTCCTGCCTCAGCCTCCCAAGTGCTGGGGTTACAGACGTGTGTTAGCCAGGCCTGGCTAATTTTCATATTTAAAAAAAAAAATTTCAGTGGAATAAGCGCTCCCCTGGCAAGTGCAAGGATCTGAGTTCAATCCCCGGTTCCATAAATAAATAAATAAATAAATAAAGTTTTTAAGCTCAGTAAAATATAGCGCTTGCCTGGCAAGCACAAGGTCCTGAGTTCAATCCCTCGTTCTGGGGGAAAAAAACAGCATATATACACACAAAGTTTTCTTGGGGGGGGGGAGGATTTTTTTATTTTTTTGGCTGGCTCAGGCTGCCTGAAAGGTGGGTCTGGTAAGGCATGAGGAGCTTGGGATCGAACCACGGTATCTTGTGTCTGACTGCATTGCATAAGCAGGCTCTTAAACAACTGAGCTAACAGGCAGGCCCCCTAATCTTCATAATATTAATAGATATATTATTATTATTATAAATTTTATTTATTTATTTATGTGTGTGTGTGTGTGTGTGGCCAGCTCAGCCCACCAGGGGGCGGGGCTGGCTGGCATGTGGTGCTGGGGGATTGAACCGCGGTCCCTGTGCTTTGCTAAGCTTGTTCTAAGTAGGTGCTTTAGACCACTGAGCCATCTCACCAGCCCCTAGATATATTATTATTTTTTTTTGGCGGAACTGGGGATTGAACTTAGGCCCATGCACTTGCCAGGGAAGTGCTTATTCCACTGAGCCATCTCTCCAGCCCTAATAGTTGTATTATTATTTTTTTTTTTTTCCGGAACCGGGGATTGAACTCAGGCCCTTGTGCTTGCCAGAGAAGCACTTATTCCCCTGAGCCATCTCCCCAGCCCCAATAGTTGTATTATTATTCCTGCTCTCTGAGTCCTCCTCGATGAGGAAATTGAGGCACAGGGTGACAAAGCTGCACTGGGCCCATGTAGCTAACTGAGGGCAGGCCTGGGTTGGGTACCCCATACTTTGGGCCTTGGTCACCACCTCTCACAGCCCTGCTTGTGGGCATGGTGCCTCCAGTCCACCCCTTTCTGCTTGCTGAATTTGTCTCTTCTCCCCTTCTCACTCCAGGGCCCCCAGCCCCTCCTGGGCTCAGGCTCCTTCCTGGTGTTTTGGGACAACAGCACTGGTTTGCAAGTCTGTGTCCCCAGAAGGCTGAGCTGAGGGACCCCTTGGATCACCTGTAATTGCATCCTCAGGGACTAAAATGATAGCTAGGTCTGGAGATTGAGAGCAGGAAAGCCAGCATCCTGGCCAGCCTAGGGGGCAGAGCTGTCAGCAGTGCACCAAAGCCCTGCTAGCACTGGGGAGCACTGGCCCTGGAGGCAGGTGTGAAAGCAATCCCCTGCAGGAACACTGATACCTGGACACCTCCCACTCTTCTCTGGTGACAGGTCCCCATTCCTGTCGTCTCCTATGTCTACAGCAAGTTCCTGGTCCCCATCGGTCCGCATCTGCTGGGACAGGGATCCCCTTCACTCCTCATTCAAAATTAACACCCATTCT